CACTCATCGTTAAGCAGCACATGACCATAATGCCAACCTGCATTGTTTTTTGGTGCCTCTTCTGTGCCAGTGCTGACCTGGGCACTTAACACACACACAATATCTCGCTCAATCCTCGTAGCAATCCAGAGAATCAGGGAAGGTTACGCCCATATTTCACAGGACCAGACTTTGTCTCAGGGAGAATAGGCACTTGCTCAGGGGGGTCAGGAGCTCATCTGCTGGAGAGCCAGGGTTCTAAGGCCTGGACACACCATGATAGTGTTGGCCTAATTAAAGCCAGGGCCTGAGGCCTGAGCTAAGTGCCCGCCTCCCTAACTCCTTATTGGCTCTGAACTTGCCAACCTCCAAGCCTCATTTCATTTACTGGTTTAAAAGCCCTTGGCCCTCTCTGCCTCACTGGGAAACCCCTGGAGAAGCATGGCTGAAGGTTGTCCTCATGGTGGAGGCAGTTTGGATTTTCAAGAGTCAGGAGCCAGGGCCTCTTAACCTGAGGTTGCTGAATGGCGGGGGGGCAGAGGGCTGGATCAGAGCCAGGGCCTGCTGGGCAGAGCAGGGAGCAGGTGGAGTGGAGTCAGGAGTCTGGGCACAACACAGAGGAGCAGCTGTGGGCTGTGAGCAGGTAGAATGGCCCCAGGAGCCATGGGCACCAAGGCCAGCCCTCACTCCCTGCCGTGCAGCTTAGGCACCTGCCAGGCTGTGGAAAATATTCTTCCCAGTTTGCTTTTTCAGGAATATGCCATTTGGGAAACACTCATACAATGATCATCCCAGGAGCTCAAGGTGGGCACTGTGGGGCCTCAGACCCTCCACACACCTCTGCTTACCTGTCAACAAGCCGCTCATGTACCCTTCAAACCTCAAGGTGCAAGTGGACATGGCTCCCAATTTGGGAAACCCTGTCAGGCCACATCAGTTCAGTTAAACAGTCCACAGAGTCACTGACCCTTCTACTCCCTTAGACCTATTTCATTTATTTCCAAAGTCATCTGGCTCTTATTTAATTGCTCCCACATTCCTGACAGCAGAGTCAGCAGATCCAGGCAATGCCTGGAGCCACATGTTTGAAAGCTGTGTGTGGGATGGGGCCGGGCCATGGAGGAACCACCCTCCAGCCAGCCTCATTTCTTGGCAGGGGCCACTGCACAGCCTGAGCCAGGCCCTCTGCCCCATTCATCACTCTTGGGTGCCCAGCCCGCTGCTGGCCCCAGATCCCATCTCCAGAGGCTACAGCAGCCACAGCACAAACCCTAGGCAATGAAGTCTAGTGTGGAGGGCTTAGAAGAAGCCATGGCCAGCCACGTGGCCCCTCATCCGTTCAGTGGATAGTTACTGAGTGTAAGCGCCTGCCAGGCCCTGTGCTAAGCAGCAGGAGACAGCGGGAAGTCAGGCAGAGGGGGTCCCAGCCTTACTGATGGGGCTGACAGACAATCAATGATGACAAATAAACAGATTTAACAATCAAAAATTGTGATCAGTGTTGGGGAGGAAATAGCAGGGAGCTGTGATAGAAACCAGTGGGTTGAAGGGTGAAGAGACATCTTCAGATTTCACACTTAGGGAAGGCTTTTCTGAGGTGGTGGCGATGAATGTGACCCACCGACCCCAGGAACATGGTAGATGTGAGTGTCCTGAGGCCAAAGAGAGCTGGCTTCTTGGTGAACCTAGAGAGACAAGTGCAGTGTGGTGGCCGAGGGTGGGGCATTGACGAGGAGCAGCGCCACACAGGAGAGCGGGAGTTTGGATGTTATTCCAGGTGCAGTGAGAAGCCCTGGGAAGGGGTGAGCATTTTTCAAGGGCCCTTCTAGCTGGTGGATGTGGGGTGCCCAGAAGAAGAAATCTGGTTAGGAGGCTGTGATGGTGGTGTCGCTGCGAAGTGGTGATGGCTTGTGGATATGGTGTCAGTAGGGCCCGAGAGAGGGGGTGGCTTGGTGTGTTTTGGAGTCTTTTAGATGTGGCCTGTCCCACCAGCAATGGGATCAGTGTGGAGTGCTGCCACTCCTACTCTGGCCACGCCTTTGGAGATGGTGGATGGTGCCATGGATGGGATCCCATGGTGCCGCTGTCAGCCTAGACTATCCCCTTACTAGCTTGAGTGATGTCAGACATACCACACACACCCTGGTGACCTCTTTCCTACAATGTGGTTGTGAGGGAGAGGGCTGGGTAGGAATAGAGGAGGGCGTGCGAGCAAAGGATGTTTTTCAATCAGTGGGATTGGAAGAGGACATTCAGATGGCCAATAGACATATGAAAAAGTGCTCAACATCACTAATCATCAGGGAAATGCAAATTAAAACCATAATGAGATATCACCTCACTCCTGTCAGAATGGCTATCATCAATAAATCAACAACCAGTATTGGCAAGGATGTGGAGAAAAGGGAACCCTCATGCACTGTTGGTGGGATTGCAAATTGGTGCAGTCACTATGGAAAACAGTATGGAGGTTCCTCAAAAAGTTAAAAATAGATCATATGACCCAGCAACTCCACTTCTGAGTATCAAAAAAAAAAATCTAAAACAGTAATTCAAAAGATATATACATCCCTATGTTTATTGCAGCATTATATACAATAGCCAAGATATGAAAGTAACCTAAGTGTCCATTGATAGATGACTGGATAATGAAGGGGTACATATATACAATGGAAAATGACTCAGCCATAAAAAAGAATGAAATCTTACCATTTGCGGCAACATGGATGGACCTACAGGGTATTATGCTAAGTCAAATAAATATGTCAGACAAAGACAATATGCTTTCACTTATATGTGAAATCTAAAAAACAAAATAAATAAACAAAACAAATCAACTCATAGATACAGAGAATAAATTGATGGTCACCAGATGGAAGAGGGGCCTGGGGGTGGGGGGAAGGTGAAGGGATTAAGAAGTTCAAATTGGTAGTTACAAAATAGTCACGGAGGTGTACAGCATAGAGAATATAGTCAATAATATTGTAATAACTATGTATGGTGTCAGGTGGGTACTAGACTTAACTGGGGTGATCACTTCAGAAGTTATATAAATGTCTAATCACTCTTGTACAACTGAAACTAATATAATATTGTATGTCAACTGTAATTGAAAAATTGAAATATACATGTTTGTTTTTTTTTAATCAGAGGAATTGGAGCACGTTTCAGAGCTGTTGGGAAGGATCTGCTTTAGAGGAGTGCTTGACTGTGACGGGCAGAGGGATGGTGGGTGTGGTGGGCGCAGCAGGGTCCCCAGAAGGTGGAGGCAGGTCAGCCCCTCCTACTTAACCTGAGGGACTTGGAGAGGAGGCCGGGCACAGGCAGAGGTGCAGGCAGGTGTGTGCATGTGGCATCGGAAAGATGATAGTGCATCCGTCTGGCAGCTTTTCTTTGTAAAACAGGGAGCAAGGTCCTTGGCTGAAAGTAAGAAGTCAGCTGTATGGATGTCCAAATGGCCAACACCCTGCCCACCCCTAGTCTAGACTTAGGAGACACGCAGCCCCCATGTTACCATTCTTCAGTATTAGCACCATCATCCATAAGCTTTCAAGCCAAAACTCCTTTTCTCACCTCTCTCCTTACTCTATGCTCCATGCAACCCTCCACTCCCACCTCTGCCATTAAATTGAAGAGCAAGTCCTATCTGTCCTCATTGACAAGTAACCTCTGACTCACCTCTGTCTGTCTCCACTGCCAGCACAGGGACAGCTGCAGTTCGTGTGGACACCCATTCCTGGCCCCTCAAATCACTCCTCCATGCAGAACCCTTCAGTGCCCCACCTCCACTGCCCTTTGAATCAAGCCCTCCTTGGTCATGACATGGAAACCAGGCCCAGTGCTCTGGCTGGCCCTGCCTTCTCCCCAGCCTCTCCCCTACTGCAGCCCTCAAAAGCCCAGTGATCTTGGCATGTCCTGAGCTTTCCCATCTGTCATGCTTCTCCCTCCTCCTCCTTCTCCCAGAAATCGTCCTCACCCTCAGTACTCAGCCTAGCCTCCCACCCTGAGTGGGCCAAATCTGGCTCGGGTCCCTTGTCACATGCTGGGAGCTCCGGTACTTTGCCCTGTGTAATTGTTTTTCTTAAGTACCTGTTCGTTCAAGGAAAATTCTGTGAGCCCGAGGTCTTATCTCACCCCTGGATCCCATTACTTGCCTCCCTGTGCAGCCTCACTCTCCAGACTGAGGTCCGGGGTCTGCCGGGAGTCCATGTGGTTTAGTGGAAAGTGAGTAGAGGGAGTTGAGTTGGGACACCTCCTTCCTGGACAAGCTCCATCCCTAACCAATTATGTGGCCTTAGACAAGTCACTTCTTTCTGTTGTTATCTGTCAAATGGGTGTGTTCATCACACCCTCTCACAAATTACTGAGAAGATCAGATGCAGTAACAGATATGCAATGCGATTTGCAAACCATAAGGTGATGACAACTGCTGGTGTCACGAACTCTCCGTGAGTCTGCATCTCCATGGGACAAGCCTCAGCTTGCTGTACCAACCTTTCCTGCAGCAGCAGCTGTACTTATAGACTTGTCCCCTTCAAGTACCCCGTGTACCCAGGCGTGGTGCCTGTTACCCTGGGGCTGGGCCTTGGCCACCGCCCACACATCTGCTCAGCCACACACACCCCAGTGCCCTTACAATGTTCTTCCCACTGCCCCAAACGTTTTCTCCCCCAAGTCTCTCCCCTTCAGTAGAAATGAACCGACACCCCAGTGAGCACCTGAATTTGTCCTTTAGGCGGGAAAAAGGTCTGATTCCTGCCCAGGTAGCCAAAGTTCAACATGGGCAGCCCGAGCAGCCGCCTCGTGAAATGAATGCATGAACCGATTGTCATCACACAACCACCCCAGCCCCTCCAAGGGCAAAGTTGCTCCCTCTGCCCTGCCGTTTGCTTTGGGGCCTGTGACAACATCAAAGCCTCGTGCAGAGGGGTGGCCAGTAGCTGTGCAAGAGTGCCCATCATGGTGAGGGGTCTCTCCCACCCTTTGGTTCTAACTGTGGCCTCTCTGCTTGTGTTTTGCAGGTCCTCCAGTAAGTGCCCTGGATTATTCACTCTGCTCCTGAAAGATAAGACATTTTGTTCTCTCTCTGTAGCACTTCCATGAATATGGTATTTGGTTGGAGAGGTGTGTCTTAAAAATAACAAAACAGTCTGGACAGGGGCCATATCTTTTTAAATATGCAGATGAATGCAAGCACAGAATTCCACCGGCTTGACCTGCCCCTTGAAGAATTCTGTGACCACTTCCCTTCCAAGAGAGCTGGCACGAGCCTGGCTGCTCCTCACCCGGCCCCTGGCTCCACTGGGTACACAGAAATGCAACGCCTATGTGTTCTAACTGCTCTGCCATAGTCAATCTGTTTAAACGTTTTTGTCTCACGTGCTTTGGCAGAAAGGGCTCTGGAGTCAAGCAGTTATGCCAGACTGACTTGGGCTTAATCACTGGATGCTAGGGTCCATTTCTCTTTGCCAAAGTGTGTTTGACTCTCTGAGTTGGGCAGCTACCCATGAGGGTGTTGGGTTTGAGAAAGGTGTGGGGAGGGGCTGGCACCCCAGGTAGCATTGAACCGGAAATCCCGTTGTTCTCCAAGAACTATCACTGGTTTTGAGTCATTGTGGCAGTTTTTGCCTGATAAATTCTGGTTAATCGATTCAAGAAGCACATTGAAAAGAAAGAAAAAAAAGAAGCAGCACATTGAGAGTCTGAACTTTCTAAAGGAATTCCTTTCTGATGAGCTGTTTTATTTTTGACTTCCACTTAACTGTGATTCATGTCCTGATCGGCACCCTTTGGAATCTGGGTTTTTCAATGCGTGTAGGACCACATTAAGCCAAAAAGCAAGCCAGCAAGAATGTGTAGATGTATTGGCCACAAGCAGTTTTTTCGCTATTGAGTCATCCCTGACTGTCACATGGAGGTAGCCTGTGTGAACTCGCTGAAGTGCGTAATGAAGAGGGTGATGGAGCAAGGCGTTTTTTAACTTGGCTGTTAAACAATTAAGTACATTAAATGAATGCAGAATTCTCAAGCTGCAGCCTGAGATGGATGCCTGCGACGAGACACTGGCCTGGCAGTCAGTGCTCCAAGCACGTGGGGGCGGAGAAGCATCCAGTAACTATAAGTGCCCTTCCCCCCATATCTCTGGCTTCCAAGGCTGTCTTCCTGGGTTCACCCCATCCCAGTAGTAGGCAGGAAACCCACATCTGCTCTCTAGGCCCCTCAGCATTTTAGGAGCATTTTCCATGGTGGCTGACACCACCCTCATGAACCCCATGTCCTCACCTGGTCCTTGCCATGTGTGCTGGCTGGCATGGGCAGGACATGCATGGGTATGTGCCCTGGTGGCCCCTCCAGCCTGGCCCAATGAGCTGAGAAGTGGGTGCTCCGTGCTCTAGACCTGTCAGTGCCCTGAGTCTCCCCGCAAAGGTATCAGTGCTCCACCAGCAGCCTCTGCCACAAAACACAGGGGAGTCTGGGGCCCCGAATGAGTACTAAGTGTTACCATATGGTTTTCTGCTGAAAGTCTGATTATTAATGACATATTAATTACCACAGGGGCAATCAGGACGAGATGGCTACCCGGTAATTTACCATTTATTTTTGCTCTCTTTGCCCTTTTCTCTCAAGCCAGTATTCTTCCTCTGAGCCTTTTATTTTACTGTCTGCCCTCCTCTCTTCCCCCTTGTCTGCTCCTCACGGGCTCTGGTCTTTCTGTGGAGGGATTAGCATTAGCTCTGTGGAGACCCAGGACATGCAGTCTGCAAGGCAGCAGCCTGGCAGGAACTGTCTGCAGCTTCAGCTGCCTCGCAGGCAAAGCAAAGAGGCTTTGAGAAGGAGTCTCCTTGGTGTCCTGAGTCCACCCAGCACTGCTCTTCCTGCCAGTATGTCTCCCGGAGCCCAGGGTCCAACCCTTGGCACCTGAGCACACTCCAGGCCAGCTTGGTGCCTGCCTCTTCCCAGTGCACAGGAAACTCCCTGTCCGAGTGGTGTTCTGTCACCACTCGGAAACGGGAGATAGGTGGGTTGTAGCTCGGCCTTTGTGGCATGGTCACGTCTCAGAGCTTTTACAATTAAACCTAAAATTTAGCTTTTACTTCAAATCAATGTCCCCAGCCCAGGCTGGGTGAGGAGCACATAAGAAACAAGGTGGAGGATGGCTGTGGGCTGCGAGTTCTGCCCAGAAGTCCTGACATATTAGAGCAGGGGGCAAGCCTGGTGGGAGGAGAGTATGGCGGGACCGCCCTTTTGGGGGACATGTTTGTTCGGTGTCTCAGGCCAGTACAATGCAAGAAGGGACATGTTGATTGATTCAGAGGACTCTCTAATGGCCAGATCTGTCCAGACTCTGCTGGGCTTGTGTTGGAGATAGGGTGGGGTATCCCCAGCCCTGCAGGAGCTGCCTTCCCGGGAGACTGTGGAGGGGAATCCCAAGCATAAGGGAAACCTGGACTTGAGTTCCCACGCTGTGCCTCCTAGCTGGGTGACCTTGGGAAAGGTGCTCACCCTCTTTAGCTTCAGTGTCCTGTTCTGTGAAATGGGATGATGAAGGCCTCCGTCGCAGCATTGGAGTTGGGATTAAATGAGGCTGAGGAGGTGACGGTTACACAAAATGCATCACAAACCAGGCCCTCCAGGACTTGGCAGAGATTCTGGGGGTATTTATCTTGTGTCAAGAGTGGCCCATGCTGGGTCCAGAGTAGAGTTTGGGGTCTCTGGATCAGTCAAAATAGCTCCCACAGCGGCGGGCAGCCTGGCCTCCCAGACCAGAAACGTCCTGCTAGGCATGAAGTAGAAGGAAACGTGAAAAACAGGCAGGATCCACCTTCATCCTGCGTGAGCACCCTGAGGGCCAGGCCCACCACCTCCCCAGTAGCATCCCTGACGAGGGAGGAGTCAGACTCCCCATTCCTACATGGCAGGCAGCCAGATTCTTGGGGCGCCACAGGCTTTTGCTGGACTACTACAGCCTCGTGCCTTGGGGACAGTTTGCTTCACCAGCTCAGGAGGGCTGGAGACTTTCTGACAGAAACCCCCCAGCATGACCCAGTTAAGCTTACAGTCCAGGTTACTCTTTTAAAAAAAAAAAAAAGATTTTGTTGGGGAACTGGGGAAGGGGAACAGTGTTGGGGAATTGGGGAAGGGGAACAGCCAAGTTGTGTCCTTCAATCTTAGTTGTGGAGGGCGCAGCTAGCTCAGCTCCAAGTCCAGTTGCCATCCGGTCACCCGTCAGCAGCTCGCAGCTGCTCAGCTTAAGGTGCCATGTTCAATCTTAGTTGCAGGGGGCATAGCCCACCATCCCATGCGGGAGTCGAACCAGCAACTTGTTGTTAGGAGCACATGCTCTCACCATCTGAGCCATCCTGCCACCTGTTGGCAGCTCAGCGGCAGCTCAGCTCAGGCGCAGCTCACTGGCCCATGTGGGATCGAACCGGCGACCCTGTTGCTCAGAGCTCGTGCTCTTAACCAACTGAGCCACTCGGCCATCCCCAGGTTACTCGTGACTGTAGATGCTCACTTCCAAAAGACCAAGGATGATGGCTGGGGAGTTGGTGCCTCCCCTCTTCCCCCGTTGTCATCTCCTCTGAGCACACGGTGACCAAGGACTCCTTTCTCCCTAGCATCAGAGAGAACGTTGGCTGATAGTGGACAGGGGCAAGGTGAGGGTGGCCGGGGAACTCTGGGCAACAGGCAAGCATCCTGGTACAGAGTTAGGTGGCTGGGGGGTGAACCTGGGGGATGAATACCTTGGCTGCCCTATGTCTCCATTTCCTTCCCTATGAAGAGGGGATCTGGGGTTCAGGTGAAATGAGGTCACTCCTGGAGCACCCAAACACCATGGGTCACAGCAGACAGTGGCCCAGTCACAGGTTGGCATCACAGGGCTGTCAGAAATCTAGCCTGAAGGGTTAGCGTGTGAGATACTCAGCCTGGGCCAGAGATGGGGCTCTGAGAATGTGGGCATAGAGGAGGCTAGAGAAGGATGTGCAAGCAGTGTGTCCATCTGGTGTGAACTTGGGAGCTTTTTGGGAAGGAGGCGGTTAGAGCCCAGCAAGCCCTCCCCACTGCCCGTTTGCAGGCAGCTCCAGCGGTGCCCTTGGCCCCTCCAGCTCCTCATCCCTAGGAAGCCCTGAGCAGGCCTGGCCAAGCACTGGGTGAAGGGAAGGTGGTATCACACCCATGATTGCCCCAGGGCCGGGTCACCCTTTTTCCTGAGGTCACCCTGCCCCAGTTTGCACGAACATCTCAGTTTCTACACTGACCTGGGCCTCTTCCCTGGCTGGCTTCAGGGCGTTCGTGCCTCCAGCCCAGGAGCCAACTGGCTCGCCCAGTTGTGTGCCTCCAAGCACCTTGGTTCTGGCACTACTTCAAGGGCTGTCCCTTCTGTGAGGTGATACCTGACCTGGCTTCCCCCACAGGAGGGAAAGCAGGCCCACGTGGGCAAGGGGACGGTGGGCGGGAGGGGCTTACGTGTTTTGAGTTGAAATCCAGATCTCTTTGCCTGGGGAGGGCCTGGCTCCCAAACTGGGGTCTGTTTACAGATGGCTTCATGTGTCATCCTAGAGGTTAGGGCCACTGCGTGGGCACGAGGGGCCTAGGCCGTCTAAGAGGCACTTCATGCTGAGTATCAAACGAGCTTCCCATCAGTCAGACCCAGGTCAGGTCCCAGCTAAGCTGTGCACACTCGGGCAGGCATCTCAGCCTCTTGGGACCTGGGAGATCACACCACAGAGCTGGGGGATCAGTGGGTAACACAGGAAGAGCGCGAATGCAGTGCACACAGCAGCCCCTCAATAATGTCACTCTTTCCTCACCACAGAAAGCCTCAAGGGGAGGAAAGACAGGGTAGGAAAACCATTCTGACCCACCAACACACATCGGCAGACTTTAGAGAGGAAAACGGCCTTGAAAACCGTCAGCTGTAGAAAACGGGTGTTTTCTGAAGCTTAATAAACTTCAAAACCAGCCTCAGGAAGGATTTTTTTTTTTCAGTTTGTGCTAAAAACATGTTACTAAAGGGCAAGAAAAGAGTTGCAGAGGATTGTGGTAGAGACTGCCGGCTGTGTTTTCTGGATTAATCCAGGCTGGTCCCTCCTCTCAGCAAGAGCAGCTGAAACCTGGTCCATGTGTGGACCCTATGGGAGTGGGGGGTTGGGGGGGCTAGGAGCCACCCATGTCCATGGGGTAGAGTGTGGACTGACAGGTCCCGGGGTCATGTGCCCACAGCCGTCTTGTGCAGAGGCCAGCCTGTCCTTGTGGATTCATTCATCGCTCTTTGCTGATGACAACAGAAGCGTGTTTATTATAAAACCTTCCCAAAATAGAGAAAAGCACAAAAGAGGAAAAAGCAATCATCCATAACCCTACCACCCACAGATAAGTCCTCTCAATATTTTGGTGTTTGTTCTTATATTTTTTACACACAAGTTTGTTTCTATATTTCTTACTCTAAAACTGGGATTACAGTGGATATATTTTTTGTAGCTTATTTTGTTCACTTAATGTGTCATGAGATTTTTCTGCACCACTAAGAATTCTTATAGAATGTAAAATACATAGTGTTTTATCATGCATAATTTATTTAACCAAGCTACAAGTTATATTATTTATATTGAAATTTTTTCACCCTTGCAGTCAACATCCTGGGAATAAATCAAAGCTTACTTCCATTATCTCCTTAGAAAAAATGTCTAGAAGCTAAATTGCTGGACTAAACAGTTTGCACGTGTTTAAACCTTTTGATGTATATTGCCAAATTGTCCTCCAGGAGGCTGCACTAATTAACATACCCACCAACATCATATGAATGCTTCATGTTCCCCCAATCCCTGGCCACCTGTGGGTATTATCATACTTTTAAATCTATGCCAATACAATAAGTTTTTAAAAATGGATGTGTGTATATAGGTATCTTGTTTTAATTTAGGATGTGTTTTCATTAGAAGTAGTTTTAGAGATTAAACTAGCTTTTAAAAGGTTCCTGTAATCCTAACTGCCACCTTGTGGTAGGGTTTGGAATTGCAGGTAAAGCATTTAAAGAGGAAATCACCAGGTTTGAGAGCTTTGGGATCCCAATTGGTCCAGGGACAACAGACATCATGGCATCAGCAGCATAGGGGGGGTTTTGATCTCAGAATATTGTGAATCCAAGGTGGGACCTTCAGGGAGCTCTGGGCTCAGCAGTCTTGCATTTTTGAGTAGTAATCTGCATTTACATTGATAAAGTGGTTTTGCCATCTCATAAATAGGAGGCTTGGTTCTGTTCAACAAATCTGTAAGGTATGTCATGCCCTATGCTGGGTACTAGGGGGGCACAAAGGTGGAATCAGACCCAGTCTCAGTCTTCTGGAAGCTGTGGGGGAAGGGGACCAACACAGCCAGTTTGCATAACGAGGGAGGAACTGTTAGGGTCGCTGTGATTTTCCTGGAGGTTTCTTATCACAACCCCTTTTTTCTGCTACAAATTATGACTTCTGTTGATGATGAAAAGACTTATCTCTCATGCAAGGCTCAGTCTTGCCTACACCTTGACTTTCGCACAGAAAACGTTAGACGCCCCTCATCATCTCTTATTTATTGTACAC